TCTCCTTCTTTTATTTTTAACACAACACTCCAGTGCTCATTACTAGCATCTGTTTCAAGGATTAAATCATCTTCACTAGTAGGTAGTGTTAGTACAGGAAGATCTTTACACATAGCTTTTAAATCTTGAACAATTTTAATTTGGAATCACTTTCCTTCCAATTCCAAATTATTTCTTTCTTGAGTTTTTGTTGTAATGGCTTTCTTAATAAAGCAAGATTTTCTATAAAATCAGAAGCATAGGTTAAACATCCTAGAAACCTTTCTAGCTGTTTTCTATCTTCAATTTTATCAGGAAATTTTTCAATCTTTTCTAGAATATGTTTTTGCAGTATTCTTTGTCCTGCTTTAATTTCTAATTTTAGAAACTCAATTTCTTATTTAGCATAAACACATTTATCTTTTCCAAGGATCATACCATGCTCTGCACATTTTTTAGTTACTTCTTTAAGATCATTCTTATGTTGTTTTAAATCTTTTGAGAATATTATAATATCAACTATATAGACCAAACAACAATGATTAAGTTCTCTAAAAATATTATCCATTCTTCTCTGAAATATTTGTGGAGCATTTTTTAATCCAAAAGGCATTACTAGCCATTCATAATGCCCTTGAGGGGCACTAAATGCGGTTAATGGAATGCTTTCTTCTTCCATTTTAATTTGCCTGTAGCCACTCTTACACTACTAGAAATGATCCAAATACCGATGGACAAAATTCATCGGTAAAAGTATAAAAAAAATCATCGGTATTCTGTTTACCGATGGCTGCCATCGGTATTCTGTTTACCGATGGCTGCCATCGGTATTCTGTTTACCGATGGCTTCCTTCGGTATTTGGCCATCGGATAACAATTCATCGGAAAAATAAAAAATACCGATGGAAAAGACATTGGTAAACCGGATACCGATGGTTTTACCGATGGCCAAAACCATCGGATTTTTTCAAAAATACCGATAGCTTAAACCATCAGGATTAATTACCGATGGAAAAAACCCATCGGTATTTTCAATTTACCGATGGGAAAAGCCATCGGTAAAATTTAAAAAAAAAAATTAAAAAAATATCCCACCCCCCTATGCACCCACCCACCCCACCCACTGCCCCTATCCCATACCATACACATACATCCCAAACTGCCCACCACCACCACCCAAAACCATCGACCGCCGCCCCTAACACCAACCGACAATCACAACCATCGTCCGTCCCCGTACTACATGCAAATAAACCCAGAAAACGAAAAAAACGAAAATCAATGAAAAAACGAAAATCAAACCATAAAATGAAAGACAATAAATCAAGAGTAACCAAAATCAAAGCATAAAATGAAAATCAAGAAAATAGTCAAAAAAAAAAAAAACAACCAACATACCAAAAACAAAATCAACCCACATACTAAAAACCTAATCAACTAACAAAAACAAAATCAACTCAATAAACCCACGAAATTACCTCAAACAACCCACAAAATCAAATAAAAAAACAAATTCAACACGAAATCAACCGAAAACGAACATACCTTCAATTTTATGGTTGAAATTCATCTACTTAAGGTTTAAATGGTCATATTCGACCATAAAAACTCCAGATCTGGAGTTTGTAGGGTCGAATTTGATCAAAAAGACCACAATAATGTTGCCGAAATTCGCACAAAAATCTCACGAAAACCGCCGATAAATCACACGAAAACCATGAGAAAAATAAATCGGAGGTGAGAGAAGAGAATGAGGTCGAGAAAGATAATAAAGAGAAATGAGGCAGGAGAAAGAGAGAAGTAGGAGGTGTGGGAGGGAGGAGACGCATGAAAGAGAATAGGAGAGGAGAGAGAAGGGAGGAAAGAGGAAAGAGGCGTGGGAGAGAGAATGAAAGAAGGAAGAGAAAAGGGGAAAAAGGCATCGGTAAATTCTCTTTGGTAAACCTCTAATTTTTACTTTTCTCACTGGTAAATTGCAAAAATTCTTATTATCCTTGGTAAACTTTAATTTGTTATATTTTTTCAATGGTGAACTTAATGAAGCAATTTAGTTAATATTTAACCATGGTTAATATTTTTTTAAAATAAAAAATTCCTAAAATACCCTCACTTAACTCATCATCATCATCAAGATCACCAATTCCTCCAACTCTCTGCCACCCCTACCCACGGCCTGCGCCCAACCCACCATCGCCGGTGCGTCGTCCTCCCCCACCCACCTGGCGACGCCCAACCTCCCCCAACCCCAACCGGCGATAGCCTCCCCCGTTTCCACCTTCTCTCTTTCCCCGCATCTCATAATGTACCATTTCCCCGACCGCACTAACCACCCAGAAAATCGTCCCTCTTCCCCGACGACCCCTCTCCCTTGTTCTTCGGCACATAAATCCTAAACCCCACCCAAAAACACAAAAAGCCCATACCCATTTAGGGTATTGAATCCAAATTAAACCTAAAAAATGAGTTTGGTTTTCGGTTGGTTTTGGGTGGGGTTAAAGGTTCCTAGGCCGCGCGAAAAGGGGAGGGGAGTCGTCGGAGAAGGAGGTTAGATTTCGGGTTGGTTAGTGTTGCGGTCGGCGGTGGCCGTCAGGTGGTGAAATGGGACGTTTCAAGATGCGGGGAAAGGGAGAAGGTGGGGCGGAGGATGTTGGGCGTTGCCGAATGAGGGTGGGGGAGGTCGGGCGACTTTGGCCGAGGCCTGGCCGTAGGCAAGGGGAGGGGCTGCCGGTGGCTAGGTTGGGTGGGGGAAGGGCCGGTTTGATTTTATTATTTTAAAATAAAATATTTTTATAATAATTTAATTATTAAAAAAATAAAAACTAATTATAGTTAAGAATTTTATTAAAATAACACTTATCAATGGTAACCAATAATTTAGGTTTACTAAAGATAATAAGAATTTTTGCAATTTACCACTAAGAAAAGTAAAAATTAGAGGTTTACCAAAGAGAATTTCCCTTTATTTTTTACCAATGGCTTTTAATCGTCGGTAAAAAAAATTATTTTTTTTAAAAAAATAAGATTTTACCAATGAATGAAAACCATCGGAAAAAAAATACCGATGGTTAAACCATCGGTATTTTTCAAAATACCGATGGCTTGAAAAAACCATCGGTAAATTATTTTTTTACCGATGGATTTTATTGACCATCGGTAAATGATCATCGGTGTTACAATCCATTTTAGAAAACCATGTGACTCCTTGTATTCTATTAAATAACACAATTTTATTAGGAATGAAATAGCCATCAAAAACAGTATTATTATTTAGCTGTTTATAATTAATGCTGCTAGCTTTACCTCTTTTTTTTCTGCATGATTTCTTACCATGAATGCTGGATTATTATGAGGACTTTTGCTATTCCTAATTAGCCTTTTATTAATCAATTTCTTTATTTGTTCAACAAACTCCTGAATATCTTGGTAGGTATAAACCATTTGTCTCACTCTAATAATCTTATTAGGATTTGTTAGAGTTATCTTAGCAAATGCTTTATCCTTTTCCCAATATTCTAAAGGATTTGTTGAATATAATTTTCGCATAACTTTTCTTGTTGCTTATTTATCTGATTTATTAATGATGAATCACACTCAGAAATTCTAAGTGCAACCTCTCGTTGTGTAGGATTAACCCTATCACCACGCTGGCTGCACTTAAATTCCATTGTCTAATGAGTATAAGCCTTTGTTATTTTTTGTATTGGAATAGAATGACCATTAATAGTAAAGATTATTTGATCAATAGTTTGAGTGCATGGAGAGTATAACCTTTGAAAATTATTTCCTCTTATCATAACATGACTAGGCTGATCAGTTGCCCATAAAATAGGAATAACACAGTGAACTCCTCCAATTTCTATTTTTAAATCTTCAATTATCTCCGTATGCATCATGGCACTATTATTAGCAATTCTAACTTGCATAGGATTTTTAGCCTTTTCCACAAGAATTCTGGAAATAATGACCTCTTTCCAAAACATGTAGAACAACCACTATCAATATATGCGCATAATTTATATTTATTGTAATCCTCAATGCATATATCAATTGGAATATAGATGCTATTAGGATTATACTGGATATTTCATTAAAAGCTTCCATTTGCATATTAACTTCATCCTCATATACTGGTTCACTCACAATTTTGGTTTTATACCCAATTACTTTCCTTCTATCAATAGGATTATTTGGATCTTCATTTAACTCAAAATTAGAATATGATCCCATATCAATGTTATGCCTTGCTGGTTGTTTCAAGGCTATTTTACTTTTATATTTTTCATTTAATTTCTTTAGTAGGACTAATATTTCTTCTTCATCCTCTTCTGGCTTTTCATCACCTTATTTTTTCATTCTTATTATTGGTTGAATTTTGTCTACTTAGACTTGGTGTTTAAAGACTCAGATTTCTCTGTATTTTAGGTTTTGTATTCATTCACATATGAAGTAATCCTGATTCATCAATTAACATCTTACTTACACTAGTACAAAACTAACCTTAAGTAACACCTAAAAAGTGTTACATAAAGTGGTAAAAGTATTATTATAGACAATATGTAACACTTTAGTGGGTGATACATCCGCCCGTGTTACCTAAGGTCTTATGTAATACTTTGGGTAATCTATGGTAACACCTTCAAAAGTGTTACTATAAACCCTCTTATGTAACATTTTTTTATATTATTAGTATCATTTTTAAAGTGATACCTTTTATTTCTTATGGGACACTTACTTATCTTTAGTACCATTTTTCAATCATATAGTATCACTTTATCCGACATTATTTATCACTTTTTTGAACTATGTAACACTTTATTGATTATTAGGTAACATTTTTCAATTATCTTTGGACATATAATAGCACTTTTTTCGACATTATGTATCACTTTTTACAAACTAATGTAGCACCTAATTAATTAATAGATTATTATTATTATTATTAATGTTTTTTTAAATATAAAATTAATATTAATATGCACAACAACTATGAATAAGAAATTAACATATATGATAGGCAACAATTTGGATTGAAATAATTTCATAAGTCTTATAAGAAAATTCATAAACACCAATTTTAATGTTTGGCCAAACAATATACTTCGTAATAATCCAAACAGAATGAAAAGCAACTACGATCTCTGGCTTGCAAAAAGTGAGGAAATAAGAAAACTTCCAAATTCTAAAAAACAGTCAGCGATAGCAGTAAACAACATTAATAACAGCAAATAGCGGTAGCAGCTAGCTAGCAGAACGGCAGCAGCTGTAACAAACCAGCAAACAGCATTACGTAGCAGCAAACAGAAATAGCAGACAGTAGTGGCGGCAGACAGCAGCAGCAGTGGCGGCAAGTAGCAGTAGGGGGCAGCAAGCAACAGCAGGGGGCAGCAACAGACAACAGTAACAGCAAAAAACAGCAGCGGCGGCAGCAGCAGCAAAAAACAGCACCAGCAGTAAAAGCATCCAAACAGCAGTAACAGTAAGTGCTTCTTGTAGCATCTTCACTTGTTATCCCAATTCTTCATCTTGATCCCTTTGATCCTATTTGTGAAAGCATCATATATCAAACATCTAGAACAAAAATGAAATAACGCAATATTAAGAGTTAGTGCTTTTTCGTTTATTTAGAGCCCTTCATCGACTCTTTCATTTCATAAGCCATGGATGTAACCCCCAAATCCTTCATTTTGCTTCTATTTTGTTCTATCCTTGCTTGTCTACGTTTTTCATATTCTGCCATCTAGATCTTGCTTCCTACAAAGAACACACAAGACAACAAGTTGACAAACATTATTGATGACAAACAAATTTTCAGATTTTCAGAGTATCAGACCCCAAGCAGATTATTAGCCTGATGTTCAGAGTTTACATAGCTAATTCCACCTTCTTGATTTACCTCAAAAGAGAGTGGCCAGAACAAAACTATGTCCAATTTTCATTGTTGGCAGACTATAAATTGAACTGGCCAGAACAAAACTATAGTTTTTCATTCACCATTGAGGAACAAGGAATACAAACTTGCATTACATCCATGAAGGGCTGTTCAATTCCTGTGTAAAAATGAAAAAAAGGAAATGATCAAGTGAGAGTAATCATTTTATTATTCATGGATTGAATTATTAATAACTAGATTTGACACTTGCTTAATTGATACACCATGCTAAACATGTTTTAACGCTACTAGAAACATACCTACTAGGGAAAGTTCATATATGACTAGCTAACTGATATTGCATGCATTAAGTTCAAACTAAAGGTTCTCTCCCTACATGGATCAGATGCAGGAACTAAGTCACAAATCCATGCATTGAATTTTGTTCTGCAGAATTATGCATGCATGTCATAGGACCGAAACTGGTCACTTTCACTAATTAGGATACGGGTTTAAGAGCTTATTACCTTTGTTAGGCAGCTGACTACAGAATCGAGCAACTGAGCACAGAAAGAGCAACTAAGCACCAGACTTCACATAAGAACTAGGACATACAGGCCAACCACCATAAGAATTCAGACTATTAGCAAGATTAATTGCACACAACCTCACAGAATTGCAGAGACCTCAAAGTTTCAAAGAAATTCATTCTTTATATACCCTTATTCTAAAGGCAACATCTTTGTTAAACACCTAACATGAAGGACAATTTGGTGAGGGATTACTAAAGTATATGTAGCTCATTGTACTATTAGGTACATTAACCTTACTCAAGGAACAATAAAATATGCTTTTTCTGGTGAACTGCATAACATTGTTGCACGCTTAATACGAAATATGTGAATGCAGCAATAAGGTATGAGAATCAAGTGGAAACTTGATGGTAGAAAATTAGAGATCGCACGCTCTCAACTAAGAGGTTGGAGGTTCAATTCTCATCACCCCAACTTTATGATTGAGGTAATCATGATGGCTTATCCCTGGGTAAACTCTTATCAGTAAAACGGCTGTTGTTTATGATACTGAGGAAACAGAGCAAAAATCCAGCAATTGGATCATAATGACTTGTGACATATGATAAGTCTTGAACCTCAGCTAGATTAACAATCAAGATTCTAATTTATTTATTTTTTTTAAAGTCTTATCTGATTTCTATTTTCTTGTGGTTTAATAAGCATTTATTTGAAAAGTCTCCTCATCTTTCAATTTTTTAGCATGTATCCTAAACAGACATTTCCTTCTAGGTGGACAGTCACAAGCATAAATTTTCCCAGAAACAAAATTACATGCACACCTTTTGGCACAGAATATAGTTATCCTCTGTTTCTTGTTGTGCAAAATCATGTAATTGTATCCATTCTCTATTCCATGGTGTCTAAGTGCCTTTCTAAACACCTCATTAGAACCAAATTTCAAGCCAACAATAAGGTTAATCTTACTCTTGAAGTCCACATCAGGGTTAAAAACAGGGTACCTTACTTCTTCATCATCTGAACCCACTGGACTGTCCAACTCATCCTCACTGTCATTCAATTCTGCATCATCTTCCACTTGTACCTCATTCTCATGATGACCTCTAGCACTCTGCTGCTGCCTAGTTTGAATACTCCCTAAACTCCTATTTACTTCTTCAGTTATATCCTCATCAACATAAGTAGCAAACAAATGATCATCACTTACATCTTCAAAATCATCTTCACTCAAATCCACATCATCATCCTCCTCTTCATCACTGAGAAAATCGGGAACCTAGCTCTCTTCACCTACTTCTGGAATGGAATCAAGAGATAGTGGTGTCTGTTGACTGTATTTGAGGACTAACTTCCTTTTTTTTTCTAGGTTGAAGGAGGTGGTTGCTGGCTGTACTGGGTTGGAGAAGGGCTGGGTGTGTGTCTCAATTGAGGGGAAGAAGTTTCATTGTTGTTCAAGACAGGGCTGTGAGAAGAAGTGGAAATGGGTGGGCTTTTATTTCCAGATCTAGGGTCCTTCATTCAACAACATGTGCTCCCTCCTTTAATGCACTCTTTTTTCTGTCATATGTCATCACTTTGACCTGACTGTGACTCACCCCCCAAAGATACCCTATCCTTATTCTATGATGTGGCATCCAAGTCAGCAGAAATGTAACTACCTAATGATGTGGACCCACCCTCAGATTCTGTATCACTGTAGAATCCCACACCTGGACCATACAAAAGCTTCCTAGGGTCTTCATTCTAGGCACATGTACCAAATAGAGGTGATACCAACCATCTTTCTCAGGTGCACACAAGAATTTTGGTTTGTCATTATCATCTTTAAACCTCTCCCTCCCTGTAAATAGGCTATACCCATGCTTCCTAAACCATAACCCACCCATTTCTATGTACCCTAATTCCTTCTTAACCCAGTCCACAAATTCAAAGTAACACACTTCCTCTACATTAGGGTGCAATGCCAGACCATAAAACTCACTGTCACCATACTCATAAGTTGTTTTCCCCTTTCTAGTCACAAAATTACCACCATAATATAGTCTTATGTTAATTGGCTTTGACATTATCAACACTTCAATTTGGCAATTAAACCTGAACAACCAATCACATAAACAAGCATCTAAGTACAAAATTTTCCACAATTAACCGCATCTAAATCAACAATCCAAGTTGAGGGTTTCGCATTTTATTAAATTAGACAAAAAAGGGAGCAAATTTCAACAAAGTAACAACACATGCTACCACTAATTCAAGTGTAACAGACTAATTTGAATATTTAATTAAGCAATTAACCCAAATTGTTTGGCTTTTTCCCAGCATTGAGTTTTTTTTAATACACAATTTGCAAAAAAATACAAAATTAAAAAGTGGAACAAACATACCTCCACCTAGTTATGCGCTTGAATGAAAAATATATGGGCCTTGCTTTTCCCTTTTTCCTTGCTTTTCCCTTTTTCCTAGCTTTCCCGTTTTGGATTGTTCTTCACCATTTTTACAGAGCAAGATTAGCTATTTTTGGCAAAAAAATTGGTACTAGGGGTGTTCATAACCGGGTACCTGGGTTTTTGGGTACCCCAAAGTGCGGGTAGTAATTTAAGCGGCCCATTACCCGACCCGGTAAAAGCGGGTACCCGCTTATCGGGTACCCATTTTAACCGTAAAACTGATGTGTTTGTTTTGCTGTGTTTTAATAAAAAAAAAAAACAAAAAACCTGCTACAAAGTTAAATCAGAGAGTTTACATCAAATTAAAACAACAAAACAACCAAATAAATTACAAAGTCCAAATTCCAAATAATATCTCAAAGCCACAAATCAAATGGAGGAGTTGAAGCTTCAATTGTCTCATGACTCTCATCAATGATAATTGTTGATTGCTCCAAATTGAAACCAAGTCTTTAATCCCTACACAAGATAAATAATTCAAAAAAAAAAAATTAACAAAAACTATTATCACTTACCCTAAATATGTAATTGAAAATAAATTAAATATAAACAAAGTAACAAACATCAGCAAATAAAATTAACCCAAAAAATCAAACAAAACTAACCTGATGACGCAGCTAACGAAGTGATTTGCGGTGCGTGCAGTGGTTGCCTGAGGGTGAGGGCAGTGCTCGCTTGGAGTGAGGAAGGTGGTGTCGCCAAAGTCGAATCCGCAAACCTATTAATGAAGCAAATTCAATGGCAGCACCTTACAAACTTCTTACTGGGGCAGCACCACTCTATGGGCATTTGCGAGTGTTTAGAACCCCTCTTTTCGACTGAGAAGTGCGAGTCTATTTTGTACTTTGAGAGTGAGTGTTTGAGAGATGGGAGAGGAGAGAGGAGAGAGAAGAGGGAAAAAAACAAAAAAAAGGGTATTTAACGGGTACCCGCTACACTTAGAACGCGGCCCATTACCCGACCTGTGAATATTATATTTTGGCAGGTCGGGTACCCGACCCGCTAAATTGGGAAAAAAAAAACTCATCGGGTACTTTGTGGGTTAGCGGGTCGGGTCAAACGGGTCAGGAACACCCCTATTTTTTACTACTATGAAAATGACAGAAGAGGGAGAAGTTAAAGTCTTACCTTTGGAGTAAATCGCCAACCACAATCATAAAATCCATTAATTCGCCATCAATGGTTAGCTGCAAGTCACATCAGAGAAGTTTAAGAGGTTTGAAAGAGGGGGAATTGAGGGGTAAGAGGGAAAATCGTGAAAAAGGAGGGGAAAGAAAAAAAATAATTAAAAAAGGGGGAGTTAAGGGCTCACGTGCTTAGCACATGGTTTTAAGTGGCCAGAAAATTTTAGTCAACGCCGGAGAACGGTCAACGGACCCTCCTGGCAACCAAAAGTTAATATAAGGACCTTCCTTGCCACCTTTTTCATAAAAGGACCTTCCACACAAAGTCGACCTCATATAAGGACCATCCTCGCAAATTTTCCTAATATTTATAAGATAAACCAATAAATTTTGAATATTGTACCGAGTATAAGGTATACATGAAGACCCTTAAATCTAGTGCAACTACATGCGATTAGTAATTTGTAAACCTATTTTAATTTAAAGTTCAATTTCTCCCTTCAAATCCTGTTCTTATACAATGGCGGACAAATTGCCAGATTTATCCATGGATTTTTGGACGACTATCTTAGCAAGGCTACCCGCGAAAACCCTAATGAGATTCAGGTGCGTTTGTAAAACCTGGTGTTCTTTAATTGATTCTTTTGATTTTATTCTTTTGCATCATCAAATTTACAGCAACAACAAACACAAGTACGTAATATCAAGAAAACTCAGTGAATATAGCATTTATAGTATCGACACATTCATGAAAATTGATGTTTTTTCCGAAACTACTCCTGATAGTTGCGCACTTGCGCTGTTATAGGGAGCTGTAATGGATTGGGTTTAATGTATTCCTTAGAGTATAAAAACATTCAAATGATGATTTATAATCCTTGTATTCGAAAGTCCGTTGTGATTCCACCTTGTCCTTTTATATCGATGGGATATAGCAGAGGTTATTGGCTTGGTTTTGCTCCGTCTAGTAACTAGTAAGGATTATAAGTTGCTTGCTCACGGGTGGGTTAGTCCTAAGTTTCCCAAGTTTTCAATCGCAGTTTATTCATTAAATGATCGATGCACACGTTCAAGGCCTTAGTTTTAAAGATGGGGATAAATTTTATGTTAAGGGTGGTGTGTATTGGTTTGGATATGATCCGGATAAACCTCGTGGCTTACATACTCAGCTTGGGTGGTTCGATTTTGATTCAGAGGAATTTAACTTAGTGGATTTTTCTGATACTCTTAAACAAACAGGGCTCGTTATTAAAATTAGTTTTGTCCTTGGTGAGTCTATAGCAGTTTTCGGTATGTCTTCGGATTGTACCTCCATATGGGTTTTGGTCGAGGATAGTGGGAATAAATCATGGCTACTATGGTATGACGGAGATTCAAATGAAAAAGCTCTTGGGTTTCTTACTGGGAAATACAAGTTACTCATCCTGAGTAACAACAAATGTAACTCAAGGGGCACGGATGTAATTTCGTGCTTTTAAGTTGGGGGTAAAAACGACCACAGCATATTTCATAGCAATGGATGAGTTCCTTCCATCCTCAACAACACCCTCCTTCTTCCTCCATTCTCCCACCAGTAATCCTTGGCCCTAGCAGTACCCTTCTTCTTCTCCACCGTTCTTCCTCCTTCCCTCCACAAGAGTAACACCTCCGCCAGAACAAGATGCTAGCCCTAAGGGGTGGATATGGCCCTAATTAAAACTATTTGTTCCGAGGGTTTCGTTTTGTTCCGCCACGAAGCGGTGTTTAGGGCTTGAAGCCATTGTTATCGAGGAAGGAAGAAGAAAAGGGGGACAACGGGGATGAAGATCAGAGGTCGTGGGTAATGGTGGTGAAGCGCAAACTGGTGGTGGTGGTGAAGCCCTGAAGCGCACTCAACATTCTCAAGAAGACGAAGGTTTTGTTTCTTTTTAAAAAAGAAGTTATTAATAAAAAAAATTTGTGTAAAATTACAATATATGCCACTTGAGTAACAAATTTCGTTACTCAGAATGAGTAATTGGGGCTTGCTCGTTTCTTACAAGAAGTATTTGTACGGGTATTTTCAATGTTGAGAAGAATACATTTTTCGTATTTGATAATGATAGACTGTATTCTTATAATTATAAATGTCACCACATACAGCTTGTGAAAAATTATAATGATGGTCGTAAATTTTTTGTGACTTTTAAAATGAGTTTAGTACTGCATAAAAAAAAAATAAGGGTAAGGACAAGACGGCTGAATATCGAAGAAGATCCGTAAAATTTAATTTTGTTGATGTTTCTTGAAGAAGTTTCATGTGTTATTAGAAGGAACATGAAATTGATGTATGTTTAATTTATTATAAATCTAATTCGCCCTTAATTCTCATGCTAATGTTAGTTCACCAATTTACTTATACATAAGATTTTTTTTTTTTTAAAGAATACTTATACATAAGATAAAACACCTACTAATGTGATTATTTTGAAGCAAATGAATATTTGATAATCAAACGGCTTGTCAAATGTCAATATGTGCCATTACAAATTACTAGTGGAACAAAGTCATAGCAAAATCATGTCACCTTAGGGCTTAGGCCATGTTCTTTTTATTTGAAGAAAATAATATTTCATCTCAAAATAATTTAATTTTAGTATAGTAAAAGTAATTTAATTTAATTAGTAAAAATCAAGTCATTAGAAGTACATCACAAAACACAATAAGTTAAATTTGTATAAAAACCAAAAGTAAAAGCACCATTAAGTCCAATTGATTCAGTTGATCTGATATAATATCGAAGTTATTTGTAGTGTTGTCTGTTCCAGGTTAAGATACATCATACATTAATTATACTTAAGATGACACGATACGACACTACTTGACTAACTCCACTTGATCCGGCTTAAGTTGAACACTTTGATCAAAGAATTCTTCAATTAACTTTCATTGGTCATACTAACTTGATCCGGTTTCAAGTTGAACACTTAATTTACAAAAATCTAGTGAGATAAGTTTTTAGCCGGCCGTGTTTATAGTAGTAAAGAGATGTAATGATTGAAAAGTAGAAGAAAATGGAGATAAAAGCTACTAATTATAAAGAAAGAAAAACAAATTGCAGTCTCTGTTTTTATTAAGATCTTATAACTAACACACCAATGTTACAATGTTCATATGTCTAAATCACACAATTACAGTGAAAATTAATCAAGAAACGAAAGAATAATTCTCAGTTGGACCTAATACTCAGAAATCATACTTATTGACACACTAGTATCACTGACTGTTAGGAATATATTTAGGAAATCTTATCATATATTTGTGATTATTATCATATACTTAGTTTCCTAGTTTATAGGCTTAAGATATATCTTGAAGATATTAATTTGTTATGCTTAGGAAACTATGTACTCTATATATTTGAGGATCAATCAATGAACAAGGGTAAGCTTTCAGCCCTACTTTGACATGGTATCAGTCTCCAGAGAACTTTTTTTTTAAAAAAAAAAAAAAAAAAAAAAAAAAAAAAAAAAAACCTTGAATCACCACCATGGTCGGTGATGATATACCACCACCACCGCCACCCAAAATTGACATAACTTCTCCATATTACCTTGGTCCTCATGATAGACCAGGGGATTTTATAACTCCGACCCGGCTTCGTGGAGAGAACTATGATGAATGGGCCAGTGATGTTCAAACGGCGTTGGAAGCTCGCCGTAAATTTGTTTTTCTTGACGGAACAATCACAACTCCATCCTCTCCGTGTACTCCAACGGATTGGAACACAATACATGCTATGTTGATTTCGTGGCTCATGAATACTATTGATCCCGAAGTTAAAAGTACTCTATCTAAGTACAAGGATGCGAAGAGGTTATGGGATACCCTGAAGATGCGCTTTGCCACTGTCAATGGACCTCGAATTCAACAGTTGAAGGCCTCGCTTGCGAAGTGTGAGCAGTCGAAGGATATGACAGTAGCCTCTTACTTCGGTAAATTGACTGCCTTATGGGAGGAATTGAATAATCATGAGCCGATAATTACTTGTTCTTGCTGTCAGAATTGTAATGCAGGATTGGAACATGAAAAACGTCGGCAGGAAACTCGTCTTCATGAGTTTCTAATGGGTTTATATACGGACTTCTATGCTCAGACTCGAACTAACATCTTGTCACAAGACCCCCACGCCCCATCTCATGATCGAGCATACCAATTGGTCTCGCAAGATGAGCGGGTCAGGCTGGCTAAGCAGGTACCTGCCGAACAGCCCCCTGAAGCCGTAGGCTTTGCTCTTCGCACAAGCACAGGGAAACCCAAGTCCGCAGCCAAAGATGACAAGCCTGATAAATCAGGCATGTTGTGTACCTACTGCAAGAAACAGGGCCACTTTGTTTCGGGGTGTTTCGAATTGAAGGGCTACCCGGAGTGGTGGCCAAATCCCTCTAATACGTGGTAAGTCACAATCCGGCGTCAAAGGGAGACCTCAAGCTCGGGCAAATGCAACATCAACAGGATCTTCTAATTCGAGCAGTATGGACTCTTCAGGTGGTTCATCACAAACATTTACCGCGGAACAATGGAGAGCAATTGTCGGTTTCCTCGGTAATACAAAAATTCCCGATGATCGCTTGAATGGTGAGTTTGACAACGATTTGTGGATTGTTGATACAGGTGCATCTAGACACGTCACAAGCAATGACAAGTGGTTATTTGATACTCGAACCATCTCTCATTGTCCGGTGGGACTTCCTAACGGCAAAACAATAAACACCACAAAAGAAGGATCGGTTTGATTATCATCGAAAATTGTTCTTCACCATGTGTTATTTGTACCTGATTTGTGTTACAGGACCAGTCGAGGGAGCTGATTGGAACGAGTGTTAGGCGGGATGGACTGTTTTATTTCGAAGGACGGGCTTCGGTGCAACATGTGGCTGTCTCTGAATCTTCAGCATTGTAAGAGTTA